TGCAGTCTCCCGACTATAACTGGGCCGTGAAGTCATGGTGCCAGGTTTTAATAAAAACCTTGCAGTTGTTGCTGTTTGTTGGGGAGGGGGTCTTCTGTACAGACCCCATCACTAGGTACAAGTAATCCAGTGGTGGGATTCGGCCGGTTTGCACCACTTCGGCAGAACCGGTAGCTAATTTTTTGTTGCCCAGGCCCAGAATGGACTTCCGGAAGTGGCATCCACACAGAGAACCAGTTGTTCACATATTTTAATCCCACCACTGAAGTAATCCTTGACTTAACAGCCCAAAATTTATTTTGCTAAGTGAGACAGTTGTTAAGTTAGTTTTGCCTCATTTTACGACCTTGCTTATCACAGTTGTTAAGTGAATCACTGCAGTTGTTAAGTTAGTAACGTGGTTGCTAAGTGAATCTGGCTTCCCCCAATTGGCTTTGGCCTATCAGCAGGTCGCAAAAGGGGATCCCAGGACCCCGGGGGATGCTGCGACTGTCATAAATACAAGTTGTCAAATGCCTGAATTTTGATTAAATAACCATGGGGATGCTGCAAAGGTTGTTAAGCATGAAAATCAGTCGTACGTCGCTTTGTTCAGCACCATTGTGACTTTGAACGGTTGCTAAATGGACCATCGTAAGTTGAGGACCAACTGTGCTGTGGAAATGGGCCATCCTTGAGACATTTCTGCTCTCATTATTAAGGCAGCTTGTTAAGAGATTTGGGGGTTGCCCAACATTGGAAAAATGAAAACTTACCAACTGAAGAAGTACTAATTAAGAAAATTCTAGAGTGTGCAGAAATGGATAGATTGACTTTAAAGATAAAAGAGAAAGAAGACAGTGTATTTTAGAACATGGGAAAATTTCTACCAATGGCTAGAAAAACGAGTCAGAGAGAAAGGAATGTGATATGTAATTTTGAATCTATATTCGTAAGAAGGCTATTGAGTGATGAATTAACATATTGTTTACGATAATTAATTATATCTATTATTGTTAGTTAAATACATGTACCCAGACATTATGCTGTTTGCTAAATACTGAAAATGTTATTTGGAAAAACCCCAACCCTAATCCTGACCCCACCTTATCCCTAACCCCCAGGTAGGCAACCTTGGCTCTTTTATGACTCATGGACTTCAACTCCCAGAATTCCTGAGCCAGCATGGCTCAGCATGGAAACCTCTCCATTTCTCCTCAGCGTGGCTGGCTCAGGAATTCTGGGAGTTGAAGTCCACGAGTCATAAAAGAGCCAAGGTTGCCTACCCCTGCCCTAACCTTATAAAAACTAATAAAATCTATACAAAAAAAAGAGATTTGGGGATCATCTTGCTTGGCATAGATGCTTTTTATGTTATCCTTTACACTAATAATGAAGTTTAAAATCCCCCCAAATCCGAAAGAACCAATGGCCTGGGCACCCGATCTGACGCTGGACAAAAGAGAGTCCCGCAGCACCTTTTCTGAACTTTGATTAAAAGCTTCGGTGAGCTGCGTTTCATTTAATCCGAGTGCATAGATTGGCTCGACGGCTGAATGCCTCAGATGAAGCGAGCTTCAGCTCACAAAGCCGCAGCCTTTTAGTAAAGTTTGTTAGTCAGACAACCTGCTCAGGGACTCCATGTTCTATTTTGTTTCAATATAATGCCGATTTGTTCTCCCTCCCTTGCAAAAAAACTCTGCTTTTTTTTTTTGCTATCGTAAAATAATCTCCTGTACAGAGGGTTCTGAGCTTGATTGTTTTCTTGCAGACGTTTCATTACCAAACTAGGTAACTTCATCAGTGCTAGTAGGGAATAGGGTTTGTGATGATGATGATGATGATGATGATGAGGAGGAGGAGGAGGAGGAGGAGGAGGAGGAGGAGGAGGAGGAAGAAGAAGAAGAAGATGAGAAGGAGGAAGAGGACTGGGAAGTCCTTGGTGCTCTCTGAGCTTGGTTGTTTTCTTGCAGACACTTCATTACCAAACTAGGTAACTCCATCAGTGCTAGTAGGGAATAGGGTTTGTGATGATGATGATGAGGAGGAGGAGGAGGAGGAGGAGGAGGAAATGAGAAGGAGGAAGAGGACTGGGAAGTCCTTGATGCTCTCTGAGCTTGGTTGTTTTCTTGCAGACGTTTCATTACCAAACTAGGTAACTCCATCAGTGCTAGTAGGGAATAAGGTTTGTGATGATGAGGAGGAGGAGGAGGAGGAGGAAGAGGAGGAGAAAGAGGAGGAGGAGGAGGAGGAGGAAAAGGGGAGGAAGATGAGAAGGAGGAAGAGGACTGGGAAATCCTTGGTGCTCTCTGAGCTTGGTTGTTTTCTTGCAGACATTTCATTACCAAACTAGGTAACATCATCAGGGCTAGAAGGGAGTGGGGTTTGTGACGAGGAGGAGGAGGAGGAGGAGGAGGAGGAGGAGGAGGAAATGAGAAGGAGGAAGAGGACTGGGAAGTCCTTGGTGCTCTCTGAGCTTGGTTGTTTTCTTGCAGACGTTTCATTACCAAACTAGGTAACTTCATCAGTGCTAGTAGGGAGTAGCGTTTGCTCTCATTTTATATTCTGACGGGCTTGCCCTGTCAGTGGGAGTAATCTTGGAGGTTCTTTGGTTGGGCTGTCTACGGTTAGCTTGTTCGTGATATTGTTTGCTTCTTGATTGTTGGCCTAACGATGGTATAACTCCCAGATTAACCTTTGGCCAACGCTCAAGAAGTAAACAATACCCCAAACAACCTAACAGTAAACAGTTCAACTAAGGAATCTCCAAAACCATTTCCACCCACACTGATATAGGGCAAGCCACCAGAACATAAAATGAGAGCAAACCCCACTCCATTCTAGCACTGATGATGTTATCTAGTTAGGTAATGAAATGTCTGCAAGAAAACAACCAAGCTCAGAGAGCATGGAGCACCCCATAGTCCTTCCTCCTCCTCCTCCTCCTCCTCCTCCTCCTCCTCCTCCTCGCTGCAATCCCCACTCCCTTCTGGCACTGATGATGTTACTTAGCTGGGTCATGAAACGTCTGCAAGGAAACAACCAAGCTCAGAGAGCACCAAGGACCCCTCATTTTAGCCCTGAGCCAGAAATATCAATATTCTCCTATATAATGAAAAACTTCACTTCAGGCCTTCCGCTGTACGATCCACTGCAAACTTT